CCTGGTACATCAAGTTCTTTGCATTTATTATCAATATAATACTCACTGACATTCTTCACCTTCCTTCCCCAAGTACACACACTCCCTTCAGGTGTGACAAGAGGAACTAAATGTGGCATCCAAAATATTTGGGAAAAACAGAGATGAAGGGAAACGTATTTGAAAAATGGGGTTTGGTCTGGCCAATCTTTAGTAAAATAATCGTCTAATTGCTCCTTCAAATGGAAAGCCTGTCCAGGATTATGCCAGAGAATGCCTTCACAAAAAGTACTTCTAATGGGAAAATTCATGGCCCCAAAGGCATACATCAGAAAGCCAGAAAGATGACAATTAACAGACTGATACCGTGTCTCAGGGAAATAGAAAAGGAAGAGCAATCCAAATGCAAAGCCAGCAGGACAAAATAAATAACTACAGGTCAGAAGTAGATGAAATGGGAAAAAGAAAGTCCAAGGACTAAGACAAAAATCTTGTTCTTTAGAAAGATAAGTGATATTGAAAGGCATCTTTTATAATTAATTTTTATTAGTGCATATAAAAAGGTGGACATTTTTAATGTATACATGTTGATAAGTTAGGACATAAGCATTTACTCATGAAAGCATCAGAACCATCAAGACCATAAACCTATCAAAAACCTCCCAATATTTCTTCTCTCTCCTTTAGTATCATTTATGCTATTGTTGGTGTTTTGTCAGAATGCAACATAAGATCTAATCTCAGCAAATGCTACGTGTAGTATACAATGATAATAGCTATAAGCGTTATGTTGTACAATAAATCCTCAGAACATATTTATCTTGCACAACTGAAACTTTGTACCCTCTCACCATCATATCCTACTTCTCCCTCTTCTCTAGCCCCTGGCAACACCTTCCTACTCTCAGCCTATTTTCAGTGTCATGTTACAATATATTTAGCATTAATGGGAACAAGAAAATGGAATCCTGTACACTTAGATTCCAAACATGAGTCTGGTGCTTACTTTCTCTGTGACCTTAAGCAATTTTCTCGGACCGTTAAGTTTTTTCTCATATGGGAAATAGCATATTGAATGTCCCTAGACTTTGTTAATATGGAGATGCATGAATAACCTGAAAGTGGGCACCTTTATCAAGGAGTAAAATATATGTCATGATGTCAAATGCAAATGGAGTTTGTCATTAACCAATTAGAATATTAAATAATTTGCATTTTGGCAAACATAAATAGGACCTCAGAAATTGCATTTGATATTCTTTCCAACTTCTTAGAAGAGATATGTCTTTATTTGTATGCAGATTATTTACATTACAGCGTGGTCTGATGTATCTATAAATTGAAAACTACATTTTATACAGAAAAAGAAAATCCTATTTCCTTTATTTTATGCAATTTACTTTATGTGAGTCTCATTCTGCTGTGCTTACACAGGTTATTTTTTGCTTGAATTACTTCACCAATTTGCTCACTGTTACCCTCTTTTACTACACGGTCAGTAAGTTCTTTTATTCATAAATGATCACATATTAATCCTGAATTTACCTTCTCTACTTCCATATTCAATAGGTGCAAAAAATTTACCTCCAATTATGTATTTAAGTGAGTTATTTAAGAAGTTACATCTTATGGTTCTCATTGTGTTTATGGTGGTGATTATTAAAAATCATTGTTAATTTTTATTTGATGTTTGCTATGTGTGTTTCAAAGAAATATATCACTATGCATATTGTAAAAATAAAATAAATGATTATGAAATTTTTATGATTGATAAATTTACAGCTTGTTCAAAACAGGGAAAAGATATGAGAAAAAGAATTATATACATTCTGAAATCTGTTATTGATTCCTTCTGCAGATATTTTAAAGCTTGGTCTTTTTGTACTTGCAGTGGGGAAGAGTTTAGCTGTGTTTATGTGTTACTATTCCAAGGACTAAGACTGTGTTATTTATAGAAATTTAATTAGTAAATGATATATTTGAGAGCTCCTGTAAGGAAAAGAATATGTCGTGAAATATAATGCATTAAGTATACGTCGCCATAGTGTTAAACATTTCTACAAAAAACCAAATATAACCATAGGATGCTTAGGGACAAAAAAGGTCTTCAAGTACCTTCCCTATTCCAATTTGAAAATTCCCCACAATATGACCTCCAAGTTACACAGAAGAAGAGATGTTATAAAATGTTTGAAACTGGTGTCAATGCATCTCAGGAGATATGTGAGGTCAGACACAGCCGTCCCTTTGCATTTTTAATTGGATCATCCTGTCCAAAGTGCAGTCCACTTGAAGGAAAATTTCTAGGTGACTTTCAACAAGAAGCAGGAGGTTTTCAGGAAAGATGTTCATAAAATTAGTTCATAAAATTAAGTTCAGGGATTGCCTTTGAGAAAACTCACACTTGGCAGCCCTATGATGATTACATTTCTTGCTTTTATATTTGGTAATTTTAACATGCATGATTCTAGAAATTTGAGGCAAATTTTTTCATTAGACAGGTGGCTTATTTCCCATATGATCTATTTTCATATTAACATAATATCTATAAGTATATTTATATTTTGTTTATTTTTTTATTCATCAGGGGAGAGCATGAACACAGTCTCCCACTACCACAAATTATGCAGTAAGAATTTCTCACATTTGGGGAGTCACAGGGGCCAGGACATCCAGAGTGCAAAGGATAAACTACACCCAGGGAAAACCACTTTCGTGATCATCTTATCTCCCCTCCCAGGTAAGTATGCTAGGATGCTTTTAGTAGAAAATACCAGAAATTTTCAAATAAAACTGGCTTAAACAGTGAGAATTTTTAATTCTTAATGTATGATCTCTAGAGTTGGGTGATACAACAGATAAATAATTCTGTAGGTGTCTTGCAGCCTTCATTGTCTCATTCACAACCTTGAAAAGGCTCTCCTTGTGAGCTACCTTTCCTCAGTGTAACGAATCCAGCAGATGGGAGAGTAACAGTCATATATGGTGACATTCACAGGACACAGGGCGCAACATCTTGTATGTGTTTTCTTCTTAGTGGCAGTAACCATTTCCCCAAAGCTCCCCCATTCCTCTTGCTTCTACACTGCACTCAGCATGGGCTCAAATATTCCATGATATGCTTCTTTTTAGCAAGTGCCTTGGTAAACTAAGATTTGAGTTGGAATATATATTGTAGAGTTAACTATAAATATCTCTGTACAAAGATTTCCTTATTATAAAACAATTTTAGAAAACTTAATAACAACAACATCTACAAGGACAAGGAGTTTATCTTCAGAGAAATCAAAATCCTGAGGACCCAAGGAGTTGGAGACTGCTGTCTTCTGTCTTACAAAACAAGAAAACCAAGGAAAAGGATGATAAGGTAAGAAAGCCAAACAGTGGCCTCCTACACACATCAGATCCTATATAATCTTTAGAAGACTGGAATGTCTTTGAGGAAACAGTAGATGACAAATGGATTACTCTACCATTTCCTTGTACAGGACAGCCAAAGCAAATAATCTGCAACATATTCTCTACTAGAAATTCTCTATTTTCTATCCTTTTCATAGATGAAGGAACTATCAAATAAACATAGTATACTTTCCAAATTTCAATAACAAAAATGTATCAATGGCTATATTGAGGATCTACTTTCCAATTTAAAAAAGAGACTTAGATATTTTATACACTTTCATATAGTATATTATTTACTCTACTATGTGTTTTATATGTGTGTGTGTGTGTGTGTGTGTGTGTGTGTGAACTTGCCTGGGCCACAGGGTGCCCAGATATTTGGTCAAACACTATTCTAACGGTCAAAGTAAAGGGATTTGGGTGAGATTAGCATTTGAATTGGTAAATAAAGCAGAATGCCATGCTGAGATGTTAAGCCTTATTCAATAAGTTGAATGTCTGAATAGAATAAAAAGTCTCTTCCCTCCCCTGTGGAAGAGAGGCTTCCTTCTGCCTGAGTGCTTTCGATCCTAAACATCAGCTCTTCTGGGGTCTTGACCCTTGGAGCCTCCAAACTGGAACTTACCCTGCCAGTTATGGTTCAGAGGCCTCAGACAGACTGAAACTCTGTGGTCAAGTTTGCTGATGCTCAGGGTGCTGACTCGCAAGGCAGATCTTAGGTTCTTTCTCTTTCCCTCTCACCTCTCAATATTTACATCCTTATATGTATATGTGTATGCATGATTTACTTCTCTAGAAAACCCTAGAACATGCAAGTAAGCTGACATCTTAGAAAAGATTCTTGAGTGGTGGAAATAGTGACATCATATACTGAAACAGAAATGATGACATAGAAGTAATCAGATGAGTTGTCTTTATAAGTCTTAAGACATAAACTACTTACTGAAGGTTATGATATACAAAATGTTATGCTGAACATTTTAAAATATTAACTCATACTTTATATATTAAATTATTATACCGTCCAATGACAGAAAAACATTTAAAAAGTCTTTAACTGGTGCGGGTATTTTTATCTCTGTCTCACTGGAAAAAAAAAATACGTGTTAAAATAGTCAAAGTTATTGTTGACTGACACTATTTAACATAGTCCACATTTAAGTTTTTATTTATTAGTTTCAAACTGCCCGAAGTATTTTTTTATATGGTATGTGATACTCAGTAGCATATTAAACATAACCAACTGTATGTTTTGTTGCTATTTAAATCTTAATCATCTGTCTCTGTATATCACTGATTAAGCATTTAAATTTTGTTTTTTCAAATTATGTGGCTATCAATTAATATCGCTATTAATCCTTGTTAATTGTAGTAGTTTTTCACCATGGAATTGAAGTGTCATTGTTATCCTGATGTAATGTTCTGCCCTTACCTACTGTGTGACTCTGAAAAGGCCAAAGACATCATGTCTTTGCATCCTCATCTATTAATGGGGCTAAAAATATTACAAGAGTACATACAATAATAGATATGAGAATGAATTAATGTGTATTAAATATATATAAGTAAAAAATTGAAAATAACCTGATAAATTAATTATTGGCTAGCTAAATAACCTGTTAAATTAATTATTGGCTAGCTAAATAAATCTCTATATATTTCTAAATATTAGGTCTTCTGCTGGAATTATAGGATATTTCAATGAACTGTTTATGTTTATATGGAACAAAACATTGTATTTGCTTGATGATATGTTCCCTATTCATAAGGAGAGAAAAGTCATCACATTCTTCTTCAAATATGAATTCTTCTTTCATAAATAAATATTAGTACCCTTGTACCAAGTTCTTAAATGAAGAGTGAGGCACGTAATCTAACAAATAAACACCCCATTCAGATTCTTAACATTGTAATTACATTAAAGATCAATTGGGAAAGATTTGCCATGCTTTTTTAATTTAAAATTCCATCTAGGAATATCAAAGTTATATAATCTAAAATACAATGTTTAATTTGTCATTCTAGCAACAAAGCTATATTCTTGTAATGACAGAGTAACTTAAAAGGTCAAAAATATTTATGCTGTGTGAAATATTATTTTAATAATTGGTCCATATGTGAAATATAATAATTTTCTCATCTGTCAACTGAAAGAAAATATTTTACTATTTAGCAATTAATTTCTCCAAAGTATAATTATTATGAGTATAACATGAACATAATTCATCTTTAGGGAAGTTGTATGTCTGCTGAGTACCACCTAAAGTAGAAATTTAATTGAAACACACACTAGCAATTTATATGGCTTCCTTTTGTTAATTGGTCTTTGGAGGCTGTTTGGAGGTTTCCAATTATCAATCTCCAAAGCCCACAATAACACCAATTAAAAAAATAAGGTCACTTTCCCTTTCCACTAATGAGTGTTATTAAGAAGTAACAAAAAGAACAGCAAGTATCATGGTTTTGTTATATTTATGTCTGGTTAAATGAGGACCTTTCAAAAAGTTAAAATATGGACCCAGTGTAAATTTTGCCAAAGTTGGGATTGTGTTATGATTGTTTGCATGGGGAAAAAGTTAAACAGTACAAGTGTGCATTCCTTGATTTCTTTATTCATTTATTTATTTCTGAAAATTTATTTTGGAGAAATGGAATATGTTTAAAACCATGTGTAAATTACTTCGAAACTTAATAAGCATGTTTGGCAACTCTTCATTTAATTTTCAATATATACCAGGGTAACGTAGTAAGTTGTTATTTATTGTACATTTTTAAAGCCAGCAACTAACATATCAAATCAGCATGCTCTCTGCGTCTATGAAAAATATATTTGTAAAATCACAGTAGGCTGAGTGAAGAAAATTTAGCTTCAGATGTTTACATCAGAATTGTTACCTATTGCAAACTAAGAATGAAGAAAGATAAGAGACACAGAAAGGAGGCTGGGCATGGTGGCTCACACCTGTAATCCTAACATTCTGGGAGGCCAAGGTGGGTGAATTGCTTGAGCTTATGAGTTAGAGACCAGCTTGAGCTAGAGTGAGATCCTGGCTCTAACAGGGTTGAGGCCAGTGTTGTGGCGGGTGCATATAGTCAGTTCTAGCTACTCAGAAGGCAGAGGGAAGAGGATCACTTGAGCCCCAGTATGACATCACGGCACTCTACCGAGGGTGACAAAGTACTGAGACTCTGTCTCAAAAAAAAAAAAAGACACAAGAACAAATAGTCTCCCATATGAAGCCATTCACGGAGTCATCATTAGAAACAAAACTGAAGATAGAAACTTTAAAAACTAAGAACAGAGTAAATATGGTGAGGCATTAGGCAACTCGAGTTATCCTCTTTTTCTTAATACTTATCTTCATTCTAATGCCCTACTGCCTTCCCTCAATGCTTCCCAATCTTAAGAGCAGTAAAAACATTGAATGTGGGAGAAAATTAGCTAAAACTCAAAAATACCTGGTCATGTCAATCTGTACATATAAAAATGGTTAAATATTTAAGTTTTATCTATAGTTGATCACTTACATTTTTAGAATTACAGTGATACTAAAACAATGAAAAAAAGTCCAAACTCATATTATATGCACTTGCATATTTTTCTCCACTTAAAATCATGGAAAATAGAACCAGCGTTGCACAGTCAGATCTCAAATCTTGTAATTTCCTCAGTAAGAGTATCACTAAATGTGACTCTTACATAATGAGTTATAATTCCTAATTATTAAACTTTGCCTGATGTTTTAATAGAAAAAATGAGGTTTTAAAAAAACATTATTTAGTAATAAATGAGTAGATAGCTGTGGGGATAGGGGCATTTAATGCTTTTCAAAACTTGGGTTTGGTAATTCAAGAAATGCTATTTGTCTATATCTAAACAAGTTAGAGGAGAGGTAAATTGGTTCTCATAAAGATCATTACATCTCATATGCTATCATTACAGAGAGCAAAAATTATAAAATACCACAATGGAGACTCCTGCCATTGTGGAATTTCCTGCCATTTTCTAAATATAAGGAAATAAAATAATTGGAAAATGTCTTTAAATGTGTGTAGACTTAAACAAAACACAAAGAATTTTTTTAAAGATGAACATATATTCTGGTGAGCATAAATTCTATTTTTTATATACAGATGAATAAATTATTTTCTAGTATCCCATTACTTTAATTGATATAGAGAAGTTAGTGCTCAAAAACTTTAATATTGAAAGTTATTCTGTATAAACAAAGATGATGGAATACAAAAGATGTAAATGGGTAAATTGGATGCAGAAGAATGTTCCCCAAATACACATAACACTGGGATGACAGGATATCAGAGCCTAAGCAAAATATTTCTGGGAC